GTGTCTTACTTATTTTATAACTGGAAATTTGTACCTTCTACCCGCCTTCTCCTAGTTTCCCCATCCCCTGACTCCCCTCCCCCTGGAAAACCACTAGATTGTTCTCTGTATTCAGGAGTCTGTTTCTGTTTTGTTTGTTTGTTTTGATTTTTAGATTCCATATATAAATGAAATCAGATGGTATTTATCTTTCTCTTTGGTTCTCCCTATTTTGATCTATAGATTCAACTCAGTTCCAGTTACAGGCTCAGCAAGATTATTTTTTTGTAGATAGCCACAAGCTGGTTCTAGTTGCAAAAGCACTTTTGAAAGAGAAGAGCAAAGTTAAGTTGGATGATCACACAATAGAGGAATCTAGGTGGTAGTTAAATGAGAACTCTCTGTGCTATAAGTCTAGAGTGATCCAAACTAAGTGTTTTTTAAAAATCAAGTATAATTTATGAGGCTTTATAATAAAAAAAAAAATGGCACTGCTTGTTTCCTAGCCTGGATTTTCACTCCCAAATTATCCTTCTGACATTTTGCCTACATATCTCTAAATTAAATGCTTTTCTTGCCTTTTTTTTTTTTTAATTTACTTTGAGACATTGACTTCCTTCTGTGGAAGATCATATTATGACTGTATAAGCTGTCTTTTAGTATTACCCATTCTTCTGATCCCAGTGTACTCAGTATGGTTATGATTTTTGTTTAACATTTTATTATTCATATAAACACACATTCGTGCACGCGCCACACACACACACACACACACATGAATGAGTATATGACACTATTTGAATTGAGCCATGTAATGTACTATGATTCATTTCTGGTAATTTTTGTTTGTTGGTTTTCCTGAGCTAATCATTGACAGTTATTTTGATTGCTTAGCTTTCTATGTACCTGTCACCAACTCTCTGCAAAAATTTCTAAAAGCACTATATTTCTCTCAAATCTATCTATGCATCAGCTTATCTTCCAATCTCATGTATTATTCTTAGAACACCACCTATGAACCCCTTTGTCCTCTTCCCCTTGATCCTGGTTCTCCCTCATGTATAGAGCTGCTGTTGTCTGGGGACTTCCATCTGTGATCCCAGGAATTCCATTCTTATTTGGTTTGCCCATGTTTCCAAGCTAGAGGATTTTAACAAATGGGTATAAAGTCATGTTCAGTTATGAGGCACTGAAAAGCTGATTGGAACTCTGCCTGCCTGAGTTCCAGATCACAGATTTGATGTGAATGGAGGTGTTTGAGGTTCGAGCATTGGTGTTTGTGTCTTTCTTCCCTGGGTTTCCTGGGTTGATCAGGGTGCCCAGAAAAGAATGGCTGGTGTCCTGACGTCCTACCTGTAGGGTCTGTGCTGGTAGCCTAGGGGGAGGGCTGGAGAGGTTTTCCCAAGAGCTTTCCACTACTGCTGTCAGAACAACCTGTCTGGCTTTACTTTTGTCTTGTTCCTGTGGGGGGTGGGCTAGGGAGTAGGAGATTTCTCCTTTTTACCCTGTTCTATGCCTCAGTTTCAGATGAATCCACTACCACCGTTTCTTTACCTTCTGGGGAATCTGTGGAGGAAATTGGAGCTTCCTCCTTCTCTGGACGCTTAGGTCCGAACTTGCTTTGTCCTTCTCAATGATTTGTCATTTATGTATCTGCTCTGCAACTCCCAAAATATCACCCTGTTTTATCTGCTGTGGACTCTTCTCTATTTTTAATTCCATCCTTTTACGTTGACTATTGGGAGGTGGTGAAGGTAAAGATGTGCTATTTTGCTGTGTCTTACCCATGAGTCAGCCTCATTGTCTTCCTTATAAATGATACTCTGATTGACTTGCTCTCAGTATTGGTGCCATTTCCTGGCTCAGGTTCACTGTAGCTCTGCTCGCTTGTATGGTCCAAATAGAATGATTAGATTTATATAAAAGGAGAGAAGACCATTTGTGTTTTGCCTGGTATGGAATGATCTGCATGGTCACACCTCCATTGTGGAAGGTTGTCTCATCAGTAGCTATTAATCTAATAATAAAGCAAGAAAGCATTTCCTATTTAAATTCACTAACAGGGCTCAAGTTTTATGAATGACAGTTCTAAAATGTCAAAAATATTATATTCATTCGCAGTGATGTTGAAATAATTTGGCCCTCGTTTTAAGGGCTTTAAACATGGAATTTAATCCTCTATGTTTATGCAACCCAATTTCTTACTTTACGTTAGCTTCTCAATTATTTTTATTCTATCTCATATATGATGAGAAATAATGTTGGGTTCACCTTTTAGTTCACTTACACCCTTAACTGTGATCTTGCAGAGTAATTTCCTAATATTGAGCATTCTACTAAGGTGAAGATGTGTTTGGCTAATGAAAGAACTGAAAGAAAAATCTTGCACTATAATCCTGATTTCATTGCAATTAACTTAGTGTTTTCTGCTATCTGTGTTCAATATTAATTCCTGGGATGCCTACATAAATTAATTCACTTACCAAAATTCTACTGTAGATGCCTTCTGGTTTTGTGTAAGTGACATTTAGAAGGAGACAAACTCAGAGAACATAAATTTTCTCCAAGAGGTTAAATTCAGTTGACATTTTAATGTGGACTACATTTGAACTCAAATGCCACATGCATTTTTAAGACTGGTTCCTTGGATTCTCTCACTGGTACTTTATGTTTTTCAGTATACTAATCCTTTCACATTGCCTCATGTCTGAAATGGACCTGATGTTGAAAATTTTTTAAATGTTTATTTATTATTTTTGAGAAAGAGTGCAAGAGAACAAGCAGGGGAGGGGCAAAGAGAGAGAGGGAAACATAGAATCTGAAGCGTCGCTGCAGAGCCCAAAGTGAAGCTCAAACCCATAACTGTGGGATCATGACCCGAGCTGAAGTCGGATTCCTAACCAACTGAGCCACCCAGGCACCCTGATCTTGAAACTTTTTACATGTTATTTCCTGGGCTAATCCCAGATATGCAGGGAACCACACACATATCAGTGTGTCTCTATAAATGATACCATACACTGACTGATAAAAGTAAGGTAAACGCTGTGTTAATTCAACATTTTAGCCACGTCTAAAGAGCCAGGTAGAAACATGATTTCAGTGTACCATTTTTCTCATCTCATTCCTTCTTTCATTGATCTTCTGAAGACATAGATATAGATATCGATATCGATATATCTACACACACACACACACACATTTTATGTTGATTAGGCAATAAAAATGAGGGGAAAACAGAGACTTAACTGACCAAATGCTGGTGTACGTGCAGATCTAAGTGACGGTGGAGCAGATTCTCTGAGAACACAGCCCATTACTTGCTTTCTCTAATGAAGACATACTTCCCAGTTGATACTCGATTCCCATCCTGTTATCTGGGGCCCAACACCCTCAGAGCTCTTTCTCTTGCCTCTTCTGGATTGTCTCTGGATTCTCCCAGCCAGCAGTCTTCCTGCATATTCAAATGCCCCTGTGCACCCAGGATGGAAGCAGGGTCTGTTATTAGACCTTACTGTAGGAATGTAACCAGCTCTTATTTTCTTACCACTTCTTCCAAAGCACCCTTTTGCCAAAAAGAGAACTGGCTTTAGTCCTGCCTTGGCACGTGACATTCTCTACATGCATGAATGTCCTCTCCCCTTCCCACTGTATCTCTCTGCCTGATGAAGACCTCATTTAAAATGTCTCCTCATCTGTGGACCCTTCCTTGATTCTCCTAGACTGAGTTAGTTTGCCTCCTTCTATAGGTTCCCACAGAACTGTTTTGAGAAACCACCATTTGTGGTTTGCCTTCATGCCTCCTGCCAGAGAGTGAACTCCTCTGGGACAGGGTTTGTGTTTTCAGGACCTAGCGTGGGTTCTTATTCAGGGTAGGCTCTCAGTCAGTTGTTCACAGATGAACAGATAGTGAGCTGAGGAAAGCAGTTGTTGAGTCAATAAATGCAGCTGTTTAAAGTAAGATCCATGCCAGTGCTAAGAATTATCATTCAGATTCTGTATCTTGTCATTATCTTTATTCCACTAGCATACTCACTTTTTCTTGGAAATGAAATATTGCTGACTCACGTTGGATAAGTACTAGCTTTATTCTACCAAAAGGAAATATTTAAGAGCAATATCCCATAGATGGGTCTGAACATAGGAAGACACCCTCCTCATCCCCAGTAATTTGGCAAAAAGAACTTAAGCTTTATGCAGCAACTCTAGAAAAAAGAGTAGATTCACTGAATGTAAGAAATAAAAATTGCAGATAAAAAATGTGGGATGTAATTCAGTTTGATTATTTTTGTTATAAAATTCTGTTGGTTCATAGAAATAGGAACATATTTTCAGGGAATTGGGTCATCAAGTAGAGATAACTATAGAATCTAGAACATTGTTGAATTAAAAACAAAAATATTGTTTTGATCATTTAAAATATGTGGGTTCAAATAGCAATAATAAATATTAATAATAACGAAAACCTGTTTATGAGACATTTTATCCTTCTAAAGTCTGGGAAGGATTTTCAAATGTTCTAGGAGAACTTCTGAAAATATTAGTCCATGTTAGAAACAAAGTCACATGCCAAGAGGGGTTGCTTTTTGAATTTAAGCCTATGACCTATCTTTTCTTAATAAATGTGTTGTTGTTTTTTTAACTAATAAAATCCTGGAATACTTACTGAGGATTGCCTATAATGACTCCTCAAATTGGAAACTTGGAATTCCTAAAAAAGTAATTCATATGTTTGTTATTGGGGTAATGTTTAGTATTTGGCCACACTAGGATAATAACCCAGATTTCGAATCATCGTGAGACTTTTTCCTTAAACAAGCGTTTATTATTCATAAGATTGATGCAACATGAAGATTCTGATGACACTTTGGTGTTTAAGACACATCTGGTTCAGATCTATGGAGCGCACAGTCACTGCTGGGCTTTTTGTTTTGTTTTGGCTACATCTTCAAAGTGGTTTATTGTCCCCTGCGAGCCTAATGAATCTGTAATAAATGTTCTGCTTATTGTGTCACTTGTAGGTACTGTGGTCTTTGGAACTGGGTCACTGGATTTCCGAGGAGCCGTTTGAACTTTCTAACTACTTCCCCGCAGCTCCTGTAAGTCAGGTGTTACTTTATTACAGTAAATACAATTTGGCATTCTCAGGAAATTATTATTTGCATAAATACAGACTCAAATGTTTATTAAATCAAGATCAATTATGCTCACAATGAAAAACACGTTTTCATATGAAGGACTTAACACTTTTTTAATCTGTTTGTGAGGACAAATGTGGGAATGTGAGAACATTCTGTAAAAAATTGTGAAGAATGAAATCTCAAAGAACTTTAATTATAAAGTCCTCAGGATTGAGAAAAACAGAAATGAAAAGGGACTAGGTTCTTGGGAAGGTGGTATGATATATTGTTTACTGTTTTACAAAATAATGCTGTTACTGCTTGTAGAGATAGAACCAACCAGGTATAAAAGTCGTGGCCACCTCACAACATGACACTGTCCTTATGTGCTGATGCTTTTCCTAAATGCAACTGCAACTTCACTGAATTTTAAATATTTCAAAGGCTGAATGGAGGTTCTAATTTTTTAAAAGATAAAGTAAGAAGTAGGCAATTTCACTTTTAATTGGAAGCAGGATTGTGTAGATGTTGGCTCTCATTTGCAAAATACAGTTAACTGGTCTGTGACAGAGTTTAATCTTTTGGAAGATTAATACCTAAAAGATAAATGGTGATTTTAATCTGTGACTGGGGCTGGTGCTGTGCGCCGTTTGAGCATGCCTGGGACTCATGTAAGAAGAGGTCAGACTCTGCCTTCTCATCACTCTAGTTTTCTAGGTTGTTGGGTTGCTTTTGTTTTCATTTTTAAGATCACTGTTTGGATTTTCTCTCAACTTTATAAATATTTTCTTAAGGAGAGAAAAAATTCCTCTCAGCAAGACTCTTGTTTGAAATACCGTGTAAGGAATTGAAGTGTAAAGACACAAATCCCCCCTACTCCCTGTCGTAAGAGAGTATATACGTAACTGAATAACACAGTGAGGCTTGTCTTTGAAATGCATTTTACCTGCCTACATGGGCACATGGTATAAATTAAGTACGTGGTTGCCGATTTTTCTTGTAATGTCATTCCCCATATCAGTGTCTGCCGTGTGGTCCTTGAGATATCATAGAAACTTAGGGTTTCTTTTGAAGTGAAGCTGTCATCCTATTAACAGATATTTTTTTGACTTGATACAAAGCTGTGGTACCTCTGTTGAGTTTTTAAAGCCTACTTAAATGTAATAAGAGAAACTGCTCAAAGATGGGTAGGCTCTCCGCTCAGGTTATTTGTTGGTAAAACCCAGTGAAATAGTGGAATAGTTTAGAGTCCATATTGACTCAAAACATGTAGCAAACGTGAGTATTTTAAAACGAAGCTGGGGTGAGGGCGTATAGGGTAAAATAAATTACATAAGAGAAAACGGAATGTAGAAAAAACAGTGGTAGAACAGTATAAGGTGAAGAAAGACATGAGGTAAATGCTGGATTCAAATTTGGCTCTACGCTTCCTAGCAGCAGCAAACTTCAAGGCAAATATGTGAGAAATGGCTTCCAAATTATAAAGCATTCCACAGTGTACATTAGTGTTAATCGTACTATGAAGACTTCAGATGGAATTAAAACTCTAGGGGTTTAAAGTTTTGCAGCCCTTAAATCCGTGCTCTCAAAATTTTTTATGAAAGTCTGAATCTACTATAAATGTCAGATTTTGGTTTTGCACTCCAAAACAGTTATTTTTTTTGAAGTTTGCTGGTGGACATTTAAAAAAATGTTACTAATGGAAATTATTTTTATTAACAAAATGTTACGAATGCAAAATAACTTTAGGGGTGAAACTAGCTTGAGAAGTATAGCTTCGTAAGTGCTTTAAATAGAAAGGTTTTCTCAACCACAAACTAAATTGTAGCCTACTTCTCTAAAATTTATCTAACTAGAAGAGGAAAAAAAAGACCTCTGTAACAGAATAGCGAGGAAAATATAGTAAAAGCTGTTTGTCAGTGAATTAAATGTATAATCTTCTTCATCACTAAAAAAATCAAATTTTTCCTTGTTGTGAGGCACAGTCAGTTGTTTCAGAATCAAATTACAAAGTCGTAAATATTATCATAGAGGTTCAATGTAGTTATCTAATAAGTTATATTTAATTACTAAAAATACCTTCATATTTAACAGCCAGACAGAAAAAATAGTACAATCTTCATATAAACGGAAAGAACAAACATTTCCATTAATTTCAGAGACCCGGGAGGTTTTCACCTTTTAAATTGAAATATATATCCAAACATTAACTTAAAACTGCACTGTCCACACGTAATGTAAGTATGCTGTTTTCAAAATGAAAGTTTAAAGCACTTAAGAGGAGGAGCGAAAACGCGTTAGCTGTGTTTTTCCTTGTCCAAATATTAAGCTGCAAATAAGCACTTCCCAGAAAGTCCCTGAATATATATTTTAATGGCTTAGAGAAGTTTTTTCCTTTCTTTTAATTACGGTAGTGACGCTGAACTCGGGACATATGGATATTTATAGAATCTATAAACAGTACTTCGAAGGACGCAGCTCCAAGGTTATCTCTGCCGCGTAGCTGAGAGTTCTGTTTTCCAGTTATTTACGGATGAACTCGACACAACATTCTCGGTTGTGACAACAGCATCTGTGAACTGTCAGTCCGAAATTCGCAGGCCCCCCTCTCTCTTCCCTTTGGGCGGTCCAGCAGGTCACAGTAACCAGGGTTGTGCTTTGGTTCTCGAGCGATGCGGGTCTAAGCGAGGAGGTGCGAGGGGCCCCGTGCACTGAGTGTGTGCTGTCTGTCTGGAGGGGGAAGAGGGGACAGCACGCAGCCGACCGTGTGAGAGCTGCAGGACCAGGTCTCTGAAAATCGTGCAGCCCGCCACTCCTCGGGTGTGTGCGGGCGTTCAGAAGTCTGCGGGCCGGATCATCATGGCGGTGGCCTTGAGCGAGTAGCCCGAGCCCTTCCAGTAGTACCACTTAATGCCGCTGAACTTATTCGTGTTCTGCCTCTGTGGGTAGTACATTCCGTTCAGGTTGGAGGGACCACACGCATCAAACCACCAGCCTGTGGAAGTAAGGGCGCACAAGGGATTAGGAATCAGGTGACCCTAAGTGTATCTCACCAGTAGAAACACCCCACTAATCCACCAGTCACATTTCGTGCATTTGAAGTAGACACATGCAGATATTCTTGAGGATAGAATGTGCTGCACTGACAGGTGCGGGTGTGACATTCCAGCCTCACCCAAGTGAAATTCTAGTTCCATGTGGCCAGTGTTTTCACAGGCTGTCTTCCTCCTTTCTCCTTGTGCTGTGTGGAAAGGCCAGTCACCCGGAGACATGCACGGCACACGGTCCGCAGTCCCGATTTGGTGAGCACCACAGTACAGTGGAAAGTAAGGATGTAAGAAAACTGAAGAATTGTTGGCTGACTCTACTGGATTACTTTCCAGTTCCAGGAATTAGTGGGCCAGGCTGATTGAAGTTCCTCTCCGCCAGCATGCTTTTCTTATTTTAATTTTTTTAATGTCTTTATTTTGAGAGAGGGACAGAGTGCAAGTGGAGGGAGGGGCAGACAGAGGGAAATTCTAGTGCGAGAGGGAGGGAGGTAAACCAGGAGAGACTCTTGAATGCTAAGAACAAACTGAGGGCAGATGGGGTGGGGGGGAGGGGGAAGGGGGTGATGGGCATGGAGGAGGGCACTTGTGGGGATGCACACTGGGTGTTATATGGAAACCAGCTTGACAATAAACTATTAAAAAAATTTTTTACAATCAATAAGTGTAAAAAAATTTTTTTAAACTGTTATTGACATCTGCATACCTAGCAAACTAAATAAATAATGGGAATGAGCCTGAGTTCATGGGAGACCCTAGGGGCATGTATTTGTCAGACAACTTTACTTGTATCTGTAAAGTTCTGTTTCTTTAAGTAAAAAATATTTTGCCGTAATGATTGTATTAATTATATTTACACATGAGGCTGTGATGATCAGTTATTCCGTCCAGTGGCCTAAATTCTTTCCTGATGGTGACAGCTCATGAGTCGAGCTGATTCAGGTTTAATGTCTATTTGATAAGACATATGTGTGTGTCTTATTCAGAATCCTTCACAAATATTCAGGAATGTTGCAGATTTATAGCTCTGTCTGTTCTAGAGCCTCCTGGCTGACTTAACTACAGAATTTGCTGTCCGTGCACAAATCTAGCTGACTGTTAGGCCGGTTTACCCGCGGCCCAGACTGTGAGTTGGAACCTGACCTCCTTACAAGTCGGACCGCTGCACTTTCTCTCTTGGGCGGTTTCCTCTCCCGGTCTCTTTCCCACTTCCACTCTCAGCCTTAAATCTTGATTTGAGTAAATAAATACATTGTTTCCTTGGTTATTAATGTACTTCTCCTACTCTCTTGAGTGGCTCATGACATACGGGTGGTCTGAAAGCCGCCTCCCTCTTGAGCGGACAGCTGGGTTCAGTGTGGGAATGACAGATGGGAAGAAAGGACGCGGTAGATTAGGTCCCCCTGAACCCACCCCTTTCCCCCCTTTTTTTTGGCTTCAGAAAGGATGATGATGGTAGCATAAGGGGGACAGGCAGCTTCTACACAGTCAGTACAGTGGCTTCCTCTCGCTGAAATCATCATGGCCAATAGGGAAGACCTGCACCGTCAGTATGTATCATGTCTCTACATATGCATATATCACCTAAAAGACTGAATTTTTTAATGGGTCCTAATTCTTTCAGTATTTTTTAAAAGATAGGTAAATTTACTGAGTTTCAAACTATTTCCGTAAGTAAATCCCTTCTTTTGATTGTAAGTGATTCTTAACTGAAGTGCAGGGGTGCCTGGGTGGCTCAGTCTGCTAAGCGTCCGACTTCAGCTCAGGTCATGATCTCACAGCCCATGGGTTCGAGCCCTGCGTCGGGCTCTGTGCTGACAGCTCAGAGCCTGGAGGCTGTTTCAGATTCTTTGTCTCCCTCTCTCTCTGACCCTCCCCTGCTCACGCTGTCTGTCTGTCTGTCTCTTTCTCTCTCAGAAATTAAAAAAACAAAAAACCCACAAACACATGATAAGCTTAGACCTTGTTGACATAGTACCTTATATTTGTAAAATCCACTGACCACAGCACTTACCTTTGTCTTTCCTGGGTGAGTAATGAATGGCTTTTTTGGTAATATAACTTACGATCTCTACACATTAAACGCTGCCAACTTCCTGTTTCCCTTCACATTCAGTTTGTACTGTTGGCAGAATTTTTGTTGCTGGTTTAAATCTTTAAATATTTTTTCGAGGCGCCTGGGTGGCTCAGTCAGTTAAGCGTCCAAATTCATCTCATGTCATGATCTCACAGTTCGTGTATTCAAGGCCCATGTCAGTCTCTGTGCTGACAGCTCGGGGCCTGGGGCCTGCTTCAGATTCTGTGTCTCCCTCTCTCTCCGCCCCTCCCCTGCTCATGTGCTTGCTCTCACTCTCTCTCTCTCAGAAAAAAATAAACAAAAAATTTAAATCTCTCAGTATTTTTAAGAACTACCGTGTCAAACTTTGTTCTTGTCTTGGTCATAATCAGCTGCTTCTGGTCATTCCATTTCTAAGCTTTTAGAAACCGGAAGAGTATATTTTCTAGCAGTTGATTTTTTGTCGTTGAACTCCTAAATGTTTCTGACTACTCATATGGATGTAGTTTCCATTAAAAAAATTTTTTTTAAGTTTATTTATTTTGAGAGAGAGAGAGAGACAGAGGGAGTGGAGGAGGGGCAGAGAGAGGGATAGAAAGAATCTCAAGCAGGCTCTACACTGTCAGCATAGACATAGAACCGAGTGTGGGACTTGACCCATGAAATTTTTTTTTAAAGCAGTCTTATACTAAAGAGAGCAAGAAGAACATGAGAATAAACACCTTAATCTAAAGTGGACAATCATTCATTTTAATATGGTACACAAAAACAAAAAGAACAAAAAAAAGATTGGTTAATTAGTTTCTTTGTGTTTGTATTTGCTGTATGTTAATGAAATCTTTTTTTAAAAAAAAAAAAAGATAACCGAAAATTCCATGTCTGAGCAATGAATTATTAATTGGAGACATTTCTATGTTAATGAATCTTTGTCACTGTTTTGCTTGCTGTTTTGAATTTTTAACCTTTTTAAGTATTTATTTTTGAGAGAGACAGCACAGGGAAGGAAGGTGCAGAGAGAGGGGGGAAAGAGAGTGAATCCCAAGCAGGCCCTGCACTGTCAGTCAGCTCAAGAGCCTGATGTGGGGCTTGAACTCATGAACTGTGAGATCTTGACCTGAGCCAAAACCAATAGCTGAACCCTTCACTGACTGAGCCACCCTGGATTTTTAACCTTGTCAATAAAGCAATATGAAATTGAGCCATTGCTCTGACATCTGCTACTCAAGAAGCACAAACTCAGGGGAGCTTGCTGAGTATCAGAGGTCCCCTCTCGGTGCCAGAGTGAGGTCCTGAAGAGACACACAGTTGGCCTGCGGACAATTCTCGCACAACATCACATTCTTGCTTAAGACTCAACAGTCTGCAAAAGTGGAAAACAAATCCCCCTATATCTAGCGAGTTAAGTCTGTTTATGAAATGTGGCCATTGTCGCCAGTCACAGGTTGAAGTCCAAATAGCCAGCCTCCCGCTCTTATGAAATTCTTCCTTGCCAAAACAAATAGGAAGAGAGAAAAGCCATCCCACCTCCTGTGAGCATTTGTGAACATTTGCAAATACATTTGTCGTTGTCTGCATCCTTTGTGCTAAAATCATTTCCTGGTTGACTGATGCTGCTTATTTTGCCGGCTGTCCCTGTAAGTCCTTGAAGGTGAATCCTGAAAGCATGCAGAGAGGGAAAAAAAAAAAAAAAAGAAAGAAAAGATAATAACATAATTGGCCTGGGCTGTTGATTTACCATAGTGGAAAATTTTTTATAATGAAGAATTCCATTCTGCAGAAATGCGTTCTGTACTGGTTAGTGTGCTAATGCATACTCTGGACAAAATATTTTCATGCTGGTATAATAAACAGGAACCAACTTATCATCAGATCCTTAGGCAATGAGGAATGTTTTCATGAAACCTTCAGCTCATATCACTTGCACAAGCATCAACGGGGGCTTTAGGGCCCTTTCATTTATTTTCCTGCTGCTTTCAGATAAACAAAAAAGGGGGAAATACAATGTGAAAGGGTCCTCTTTCCAAGTCTCCAGGCATCATCCATATAGAAATGAGAGCCCCGAGATGAAGAGGCAACTTCAAGCATCATTATTTTCAGTGGGGTGGTGGGAGTGGGAAGGGCAGTGGGCAAGGAAGGATCACTGAATTTGGAGTAGAAGTCTACAGTGCTTTGTAGAAAATACATCCTTATGGCTGTTTTGCCTCATTTCCATATGTTATTGTAGTAAGCCTGCTAGACACTGAGAAAGGAATAAACAGAATATTAAGTTAGACACTAGAAAATAGGCCATACTTGTAGAGGATTGCCAAAATCTGGTTTGTGTCAGTGATCTGTGTGCCAGGGAGGAGGTAGAAGGAAAGAGGAAGTATGTGAACACTGCTTTGAGCAAGCCCATTGGCAGATGGACACAGTACAGCTCAGAGCAGACTTTCACGTGCTGTTGTGTGGCTGTGTGGATGTGACATTGCTGTACATGGAGTCGGGTCGTGGTGGAGCCCGAGGCATGGAGTCCTGACCCGGGGATGCTACAAAACAAAACCCTGCAGTGTCTTGAGGGAGAACTGTACTATAAGTTTGCAAAATGATGCTCCTCTTTTGCTGACCACTACCTTGAAAGAAATGTAATTTCCAAAAATTCATGTTGGAACAGCGGGTGGAGAAGAAAGGGAAGGCTCGCCAGGGACTGTCTGTAACCAGCCTGTGCCAGGCACTTTCACAGGGTTGTGTGTGGAGTGCATGCACCGGCCCTGAGAGGCAGGTATTTACCCTGGGAAATTGTTGGAGCGCCTGGGTGGCTCAGTTGGTTAAGCTTCTGACTTCTGCTCAGGTCATGATCTCACAGTTTGTGAGAAAGAGCCCCACATTGGGCTCTCGGCTGTAAGCACGGAGCCCACTTTAGATCCTCTCTCTCCCTCTCTCCTTCCTGTTTCTCCCTCACTCACACCCTCTCACTCTCAAAATAAACAAACATTAAAAACCTTACATATAAAATTGTTGAGATAGGAACGTACACATGTAAAACTGTTCCAGAGATAGGAAAGTGGTGGAGCTAGCATTTGCACCAGATGTATCAAAATCCTCTGTTATGTTTCTACCCTGATAGAACCTTACCAGGGATGTTAGTTTATTAAGGAATAGTTCTGAAAAGATGGGGGTATGGAGCACACCAGATGGAGTGCCATAAAGTCTTGGTTCTAAGTCACTTTCGCATTAATGACTTAGACTTAAAATTGTTTTTCATGTTGTAGCCCCCATCCTAAGGCCTTGGCTGAATTTCTGAATTTTAGCGTTATCCTCATGTTTGAAAAATGACCCTGGCCCCTAACACAGTCTCTAACTACCTGCTGCAAAGCATTTGTGTATGTTGTACTCATTTCTGGGATTTTGAAAGACTTTTAATTTCTTTCCAGGCCCTTCTCATTAGTCATAGATAGGGTTGAGATAGACCATTTTGCTTATCTTTCCTCCTTTGCAGTCTCTTACCTCCTTTGAACAACATCAGTTCTTATGGGACTCATGAAATTTCCCCCTGAAGGTGAGCAGAATCTGTGAGAACACTATTTTTTATTTGTCTTTGTGAGAAAGGTTGCTATCATATTAGATCTTCTGTTGTATGGCCCCTTGCTTTATAGTTGTTTTCTTTTAAATTTGGTTATTAAGAATGACCACATTGTTAAAACTGCTTTAAATTGGTATCAGTTGATTTTATAGAATAGTGGAGTGGGGGGGGAAAAAAACCATGCCAGCATCTAATAATGACATCTCAGTGTTGCCAGACTGTGAAAAGTGATAATCTTTAAGGCTTAATATACAGATAGTTTTTTTAGCTTCAGTAACAAAAAAAAAAAAATTCAATTGATGCATTTTACCTTTCCTTATAACATTTATTTTCCAGTCTGCCAACATTTGGGTAAGACTTCTTGAAGGTGGCTATAGCGGCTCTAGACAGTGGCATTCTGAGACACCTGTGTTATTTTTCAAGCCACATCACAGTTCACTCGTCACATTGACATGTTTTACTAGGATGATAATTGTTTCAATGTAGTGTCTGTCATATATGGCCAAGTGAATTAAAGTGAGCTTTGAGTGAGTGTGTGCTGTTTTCAATGGCATATCCAAAAATTGATCGCATTTCTAAACGAAATATCTGTTAAGAACCATCTCAGTTTAAAATATTTTTATAATGTCAGCATACAAGGGTAATGACCCATTTTGTAAAATGTCCTTATGTAAACAGTCTAATCCTTAATTTTTGTGGTTCTTTCTTTTCTTTCTTTTTTTTTTTTTAATTCCTCTGTTGTAGATTCCTAACTGTTGCCAGTTGAGAAAATATTTAGCTTGGAGGTAAAACAATGACCAACCACTCGTGTCTAAAAATTCATTGACGTTTTGATCTCTTTGGAGTCGACTTAGAGCTGCAGTGGGGCCCAAACACCTATCTTTTCATCCATCTGAGTCATTGCTCCTCCCAGAGAGCCCTGCTCTCTCTCTAATGAGACTTGATGAGTCTGTTTCACTGACTTCTTAAAAGTCATGTCAGTGCTAGCTGTACATTAGCTGTGTTCAGAGTTTTCAGAATTTTGACCCCCTGCTTATAAAGCAGCACACACTAGACTGGTCATCGGGTGGCTGTTCAGGCAAGCTACTCAGCCTAGTTGTTTCCCTGTGCTATTCACTGTGACCCTGCCCTGGGAGGCCAGCTCCAGGACTTGGAAATCGTGTTTATTTTCCAAGCTGCTCAGATCTTGGATTTTCTGTTGGGCGGAGGGTCTGAGTTGGGCATCAGTGAGATCTAGGTGGGACTGTAGACCACAGAATGACTGTTTTCCGTGACGTTCCCGTTGAACTTTATTTCTGACCTCAGCGTATGTATTTTCACGATGTGTGTGCTTAGGCCTTTCAGACCCCTTCAGGGCTATGTCGGTGACTGGACGGTTCTCTTGTGCCTTCTGAGAACAGTTCCCGCGGTGCCACCTGGCACACGACCTCACCGCTCTCTGCCTGGCATTGCACGTGTGTTTCTAGGTACCTCCTTCCATGAGAACATATGCAGATATGTGCCTTTGCTGTATCCGCTGTGGTAGCAGCTTGCCAGGCACTGGTCTCTCAGTGCCTCTGCTGCTCTCCGCTTCCACTCTCACGGTGTTTGAGAGCCAGAAACTACATTCTGAGTCAAGGATGCCCATGCTTTTCTTGGAACATTCAAGATTAATGCCGCCAAATGCGTGGGGCAAGGTGAACACTAAGGAACTGCTGTGAATCAGCTGTGTCTATTGCAGAGAGTAAAGGGGTTTGCACGACTAAGCCTCCCACCCCATTCTGCCACTTTTAAACTTGGTAGCTCATCCTGACTTGGGGACAGAATGAAGCGGTTAAGGGTGTTCAAGATCCAGAAAGATAGATTTCACTGTTAAAACGTTTTTGGAAGAAAACAGTAAAGTCCTAGGTATACATCTGTTCTGATCTTGGCATGACATTTTATAATACAGACACAACACTCCCATAGTCTACAGATGTTTGTGGAACAATGCCCATCGTCGGCCAGGCGGGCTTCATCTAGGCCTTGAGGACACACAGCAGATGCAACAAACAGAAGGCTGTCCTCATGAAGCCTCCCTCATGTTGTTAAAACTGAAGTTAGAATTTTAAAACTAGGGACACTTATTGAAAGGCAGCATAGAACTCTAAGAAAGGAGACGTTTTCCATTTAAGGTATCCTCAGAGTACTTCAGAGCCTGCTTAATACAGTCGGGCTCTCCCTTTCTGGAATACTGGCACAGCAAATCTGTTAATGTCTTTCAGTTATATATAACTCACCTGTAATTGAATTCTTCACTTGAGAGAGAGAAGTGTTCATACAGTGAGTATGCCTCGTTCCCTTCCCAGTCTTTAAGGTGTATTTTAAGCACATAGGGCTGTTGATTGGTCACTTGGAAAACAAATTCATTTCCCAGCCAGTGTTCACCGGAAGGGTTCCCAAATCCCTGTAATCCAAGTTGTAAAATTCAGTCACCTCATTTATTTTTAATTCGTAATTGAAATCAATAGCCTATCAGTTTAACCCGGGGTGACTGTCAGATATCCAGCAGAAATTCTTGCCTGTATTCTGAAAATTTGGGGGTCTTCCAGACAAGAAAGTAGATTTTTAAAAGGTCTGCTTTAAGAAACCAAGCAGACTGGAAGAAAATTAGTATTAGAGTAATTAGAACTACTTGGGAATCACCAGTAGAAACATGAGCATAAACAGCTCAGGTTATTGACGTGAAGTTCTGTAAAACAGTTGGCTTACCCCAAAAATGCTGAGCCTGCCATTAAAAATAAGCCTCACACTTGCATGCCTTTGTTTTGATCTCTAGTTTACATTACACTGACAGGATCATTCGTTACTGGGGAGACTGAAGCACCAGCTAAAGGGAACCCTTTGATAACAAAAATTGTCAACTGGTCATTGGTTAGTTTTAGATTTGTGGTGAAGGTCCTGCAGATCTTGAAAGTTAGTTTTCACAAAGAAAATTGTTTTCAGATGGCTTGAAGAGTATTCATACCACTTTGTATTCGTTCCAAGTCCTCTGGAAATCAACACTGCCATCTTCACGCCGCTGAATGACGGTCCACCCACCTCCAGCCGTCTCCATGTCGCAGTACGCCTGCCAATGGGAAGAGCACAGTCATTGAGTGGGAAACATCAGTGACTCAGGTCTTCATCCGAACTCACAGAAACAGGACAGACGGAAATACCTATGATGTGACTTGACTTGTGCTGATAGGGTTCCCTGGGCTCAATCTTTGTGGTCTTCCAAGAAGCAGATCTTTATGAATACATTAAATGTTTATTTAGTTTTGGGAGAGAGAGCGCAAACGGGGGGGGGGGGGAGAGAGAAGGAGAACAAAGATTCGAAGTGCAGAGAGCCTGACAAAGGACTTGAACCCACAAACCACATGGTCATGACCTGAGCTGCAGTCAAACACTCAACTGACTGAGCCACCCAGGCGCCCTGGTTTTAAATACAGTAAAACCTTGGTTTACGGGCATAATTCATTCCAGAAACATGCTTGTAATCCAGAGCAGTTGTATATCAGAGCAAATTTCAAGCACCATTGGCTCAGTTGTGATCATGTGACATTCTGCGTCGCGTACTACGGGTACTACAGAGATCTACACAGGGCTCAGACTCATGAACCGTGAGATCATGAACTGAGCCAAAGTCGGAAGCTTAGCCATCAGAGCCACCCAGGCTCCCCTTATGTACTACTCTTCTTGTAAGATATTGTTCATTTATCAAGTTAAAATTTATTAGAAATGTTTGCTCATCTTGTAGAACACTGGCAGAAGAAGTTACTTGCAATCCAAGGTTTTATTGCACGTTAAAAACCATGAATTGAAAATGTTGATGGCAGATAAACAGTAGTACAACATGATTTCAGTGCTGATGACAATATAACTTTCCTCTGTTCTAGGCTGAAGACCTACCCTAACAGCTGACCCAAAGATCGCTGTTTCTTAAACATTTGTTATGAATGGGACTTCTTGGCATTTTGGCCCCAAACCTCAGCTCCAGCCTCTAGGAACCTTTGCAGCCCTAGGAACCTCTGTGGTAGTTGCCAGTCCCTATCAGCTTTGTAGAGCATTATGTATTAGGGGTATTTTTGCACTGTAGGCTTTCCAAGACCCGTGTTGTGTTACATTTTGGGGCTAGAAGGCTTCTTCCACGTGGGGTAAAATTCAGATCACCCCTCAGTATGAGATAGCTGAGACTCCCATGCACCCAGTGTGTACAGGGACCTGAGAGTCGCTGGGCAGCTCTGACCCACAGATCAGGACTTCAAGCTTCCCTGCACTTTGCTCACTGCCCTTGGTATTTCTTTTCCAAGCTTTTTTTTATTTTTGCTTTTAAACTGGCTTGGTGGGTTTAAACTTTGTTCAGAACACAGAATTCCTTCTTGGGCTAGGACCATGCATGCTCAGTTTCCACTCAGCTGGAGTTTTATTATGAAATTAAAAACCCCTGAAAATAAGATTACATAAATACTTTTAAATAATGAGATTATAGTAGAACGAAAAATTTTCCCAGAAGGATAAGATAAATTTTCCTGTGGCATACAAGGTAGTAAATATGAAAGTCGACGTTCAAAGCCAATGAGAAATAGTCTTCCCCTGTTGTTTTCCTTTGTCTTTTTGGGAAATAGTAGAGATAATGTTGGCAGAGTAGGTTTAAATGTCAACAATTCTGCATTTGTGAGTTAAAATCCTAAAGAATGGGGGATAAAGGAGAACCAAGAGCACACAGAGATGCCCCCTTTCATTTTTGGCGGCCTGCCTGATGCCTTGTTCCTAATGATATAGAGAGCTCCCCTGGGCACCCAGGGGCCCAGCAGACTTTTCTCACTGTTCTTCCCAACACCCCAAGGGGATGGCCCATATAGCTTTTGGCCCATATAACTATCCCTGATGATCCTTTATTTGGAAACATATGTTCCATTAAAGAAAATTACATTTATTAAGAATAGAATAATAAATATTTCCCCATTTTTAATTAACCAGATAGATAAAACTGATCTGCTTAAAGTAACCCCTTATTATCTCCCTGTATTGGTATATTATTATTGTTAATTCTCTTGTGACCATTGCAATATTCCACTCTGTTCCAAGTACCGTACTTGATACTTGGCATATATTATCTACAGTCCTAAAGTCATTTTGCTGTGATACTATAATGATACATTTTTGAAAGGAGAAAATAATTGGTAAAGTTAGATTAACTTGACCAGACTCATCCACTATTACGTGTAATATAGGACTTGAATAAGGTCTCCAATTCCTCATTCTGTACTGTTTTTTCTACCATACCATGCAGCCGAGAACAGTAACTTGACTCTCTTGTTAAGAGGCCAGATGTCCCTCAACACAGCTCGAAGTTGAAATCAGTTCATGAATAATAATGCCTCTTATTTGCCCATGGTCCACCCAGTGGTCCCTACTGCTCACTTCTCTCAGCGTCTTCTAAAAAAAGTCAGTATAGTAAACTAGCTGAATAAGCTATATTGGTTTGAGGAGTCGTGTGTGTACAGAGAAGTTACTTCCTCTGTATCCTAAATGGCATGTTGGTGGGTGGAAAGACCAGATATGGTTTGGAGCAAGCCTATCCTTGTTCCAAGAATGTTTGATTCTTTGCTGTCAAAATCACCATTATGAAGTCACTGATACTTAAAGTCAGAGAAGAAGTTCATTTTTATATGAAAATCAGAGTCCAGATTGGCAGAGAATCACTGCCCACCTGAAAATGGGTGGGGCCACTCTAATCTCTCACTCCACATGGGGCAATGACGAGATGATGAGAACATTTCCTTAATATGTCCTCCCGATTAAAAAGAAAAAAGAACAGAGAGCTCATAGAAGCTGAAGTATTATGGTTAATTGAGTTGTGAAACTTTCAGAGGAAGATGGTTTTCAAAGAGAGTTGTCCACGTGGCCAGAGGGCACAGAGCGAAAATGATGAAGTCGTCGATTATCTCAGGATCAGGAAAGCAGAAGTCTTCAGAGAATGCCCAAGACCTTACCACTTCAGCCACAGCAAACCTGAGGGCAGCTAGTACTTTTGGTTAGCACACTACCTGCATGGTTCAGGGACCTTACATCTTGCTTTAAAGTCTATCAACAAATAATGCTTGATTTAAATGTCCTGCTTCGGCTCGGAGGCCGTAGGGAATGACTGATGAAACTGCAAACACACAGATAAGCACTAGGGGACAGGTACCCTGTGGAATTTAGAGAAGGCAGTTATTAGGCCTCTGACCAGCAAAAGCATATTCAAATCCCTCTGGTGCAGTTTTTATAGTTTGCAGAAACCTAATGGATTTTTCAAAAATAAAGTTGAAATATTTGGGCCCTTTTGGAAAAGGTCAGCCCAGAGATCTGCTGAACATTCTTTTCCTGAATTAGAAGAAACAGGGCAAAAACGACTACCCTGTCATGCAGAGAAATTGTCTCAGAGTCTTTGGGGAGCAGTCCGAAGGGTAAACAATTCCTGTTTATTGAATTGATGGTTAAGTGCCAAGTCCTGTCCTCAGTGCCGGATCTCCACTGTCATCTCAGAACCTTTAGAAGGTTCTAGAAGTCTGGGGTTACATCATGACATCACAGATTGGGAAACTGGGACCTCACACAGGGTAAATGACTTGCCCAGAGGCACAAATTGGCAGAGCCAGAATTTAAACTCAAGCCTCTCAGACTCTCTCTCCCTGGATCAAGTTGTGAGTTAAGGAGGCTCAAGTCTGGAAGGGAATCTAGAGGTAACTTAATCTGGAACATTTATTTTATAGACTTGAAAATTGAGGTTTGTAAGATTGTTGTTCCCTACTGTGTAAATGAGTTATTTTTACTGCAAATGTTTGAAAGAAATATAAATCCTAATGTTTCCAACCACGACCTGAGCCTCATGTCGCCCCCACAGTACTATATATTTTCATCTTGCCGTAGAACGCTCCAGTTAGGACGTTGGGTTGACCGAGAGTCCTGGGGCGGGAACGTGGCTATGCGTCAGGAAGACCTTTCCAGAGCAGTATGGGCGTCATGGGAGATTGCCCCCTAGATTTGCCAAGCATCCACCTTGCACAATATCCTGACTCCCCCTCCCGTTGCCACTCCTGTGCCCATTTGCTCTAGACCAAGAAGAGACCAACATCTGGTGATAGGCATTCTGTTCCCAGAAACTGTTATGAAGACCACCGCGCAAAGGGGATGGAGGGCCATCGCGCAGGATCTGTTCCTTCCTGTCTCATCTGCAGCAGACTGTTTATGTTTTGTTTTTCTTGCCGCTAATATGCTGCTTCTAGGACACGGGGAACATTCACTGATTTCCAAGGTTGATTTAAAGCAGCATGGATGAATTAGATTTTCTATGGAAAGTATTATCTTGAATAGCACAATATTTATCTTTTAAATTCATAATCAAAGTATATGTTACTGTTTCAAATTCTCTGTCTTTAAACCCTTAATGCTTAAATTTTGAAAGTGTTTTTCTTTATTAGCATTTTAAATACCGAGCATAATACTCAGTTCAAAGAGGTAAACTTCCAGGAGCCTCTACAATTTCCATATGGTTACAGTATCAATGGCCTTCTTTAGAAGTGTTTACATTGGGTCAGCATATAGCTGTTCCAACTAGATGCAAGCCTATGTATAATCATTTAATATATCCAGTCGTCCGATCATTATATTAGACTTCACACTGACTCTCATGTAATATTATTTTAACTTATCAAACGTCTAGGAGAAGCCACACTGAAATATTCCTTGGGGGTGTGATTCTTTTTCCCCTCATCTGAAGCTCAGTGTCTCCCAAAGCAACTTCAGGAGCCGTGCTCCCTCAGTAATCCAGGATAACCAAGAAGCGAGTTTAGCTATATCCTTTTCCTGATGAAACGTTCTGGTTGTTGGTTTACTTTCCACAAAGTAATTGGGCTTATGCCTTGAAAGAAACTCTAAATACCTGAGAAGAAAATGAGCCTCTCTCTTCGGTGGCATATGCTTTAAGTCTTGCAGCCTACATTAGACGGGGGAAGGCTCGCCTTCCTTCCTCAGCCATCCACGCGGCGCGGAGGCCCTTGCAGCAATTCCCAAGGCTGAAACTGTTTCCATAATGAACTAAGATGGCTTTTGGCCTTTAAAGTGTGACAGTGTTTGCACTGAGGGTGCAGAATCTCTTGGGGTGAGGGGGATCTGCCCACACCCTGGGATGGATCGAGGGAGTAGTGCACACTGTATTGAGTCACGACATTCTTAAGTCGCACACTCACAGTTGGGAAGAAACGAAGGTGGTTTCACCTCGGGACATCCTTGACAAAGCAGTCATGACTGTCCCGTTTATTTGAGCCTCTCCTGCTGAATGCACATCTTTTCACGAGCTGTGTGCTGGAGTGCGGGACGTCTGTGAATCCCTTCTGCAAACCCCGGTACCGTGCCTGTTTCAGAGCAAAGCTCTTGTGGCTGTTTAGTTGTGACCTAAGTGAGTCAGTCTGTCTGTCTTCCTTCCTCCCTTCCTCACTTCCTCCCTTTCTTTTCTTTTCTTTCTTTTCTTTTCTTTCTTTTCTTTCTTTTCTTTCCTTTCTGATGGAATACCATTGCTACTTGAAATAAATAGTGATAGACAAACTATTTGGTTATTTGAACTCTAGTATCTAGAAGATAATTTCTTTACAGTGAATGAAGCGAGTCTGACGCTTTAAGGAAAACAACTCACGGTGCAATGATTAAGTTAAACACAAGGAGAATATGAGAGAGAGATGTGTGTCCTACATAATAGGATAGAAATTTCTACCTCACCAAGGTGCACAGTCAGTATCTGTATGCAGTGACTGCGCTTGGAGCCCTTGGCAAGTACCTGGTGTGAGGCAGACGCCCTGTGCGTGTTAGTGGCTTGGCTTTGCCAAGCAGCGAAGGGTCTGGGTGTGTGAACTGTATCTTGCACTTCCTCGGCTTCTAGAAGAAGCTGTTTCCGGCCAGGGACTTGAAAACAGGAGGCCCACAACATACCTTTATCTCCTCGGTGGAGTTAGGGAACACCAGCGTGTAGACGCCGTTCTTTGTCCTCCCTGACTTGAATGCTTCCGCACAGTCTCTGAAAACAACTGCTTCTTCCTTAGCGCTGAAGGAGTTCTTGGCTGCTTTAAAAAAAAAAAAAATAGGAAAACATTTAAAGGGAGTTCATGAAAAGATAAAAGTTTATTACTTTGAGATACACTCAGTAGTAAGTTTTATTACATTTGAATTCTTATAATAAGTAAGAGGGACATACCAGTTCTTATCCTTTCCAAAAAAATTACTCCTTCACCCTGCTCTACATTAATTCTTGAAGATTGTTACCAGTAACCGATACTTGTTTTTATTTAATCCTCAAGTACATGTAAGTACTTTGTAATTAAATGTAATAAACAACTACTTTAAAAAAATCTTCCATCCTGACTAGTATCACATAAAATTACTGCAAAAGAATAAAACAAGAGCATACCTAAAAATAGTGGCATGTCTACAGTGGCTGTGGCATATCCCATTAACCATTATCCTTTCCTGGCTGTGGATATATATTTTTTTCCTTTTTGTTTTTTTTAAAGTCTGAGGCCAAGTCTTGATATATTTCTTTAGGATTCTTATCCGATATATTCTTCGGACTTTTAGCCACTGTCCCACAATGGTTTATGTTCAAGCGGAGCCTACCATTAAGGTATCTATGTTTTTGAAATTCTTACTCTAAGACAAAATCCTAGTCTTATGAAATTCCTTCAAATTTTTACTCTGCTCTCAGCATTTAGATTTCCCACCCCTTTTTGCCATTAGAAAAAAAAGTGTGTGTGTATGTGTATGTGTGCGTGTGTGTGAGAGAGAGAAAGAGAGAGTCCTTGCGGGTATTTATAGTAATTCTAGAGACCTACAAAAGCATAGGTGTCTGGACTAGAATGCGGGTTGGAATCACAGGTAGACAGTCTCTACCTTCGCTTCAGCTAGCGACACAAGGGGAAAGGAAAGCCTTTTCTGCTACTCTGTCTCTCCTGTGCTCGTGACTTCTGCGGGATGTGAGCTGCAGGGTTTTCTCTACTTGGGCTCATCAGAGCTAACACCTCACGTTATCTTGCTCCCACCAAATACCAGATGATTATCTTTTCCTTTTCTGTGAAGGTGAAAAACTGAATTTCCCCAGTTATAAGAGAGCGAAACTCTAGCTGGGAGGCACCTCCCGTGAGCTGGTCCTCCGGGGTCTATCCTGCCATTCAGCATCAAGATAGTGCTATTTCTGTGTGTTCCTTGTGGAAGAAGAAACCTTGTTTAAGTGTTTCTACTAAAGTTGGCACAACTGCATAGCCTGAGAACAATGTGAGAACATATTTCTTATGAAAGTGGAGAATATCTTCACACGATGTAAAATGCATCTGTGTCAAGAGAATACAAGTTTAAAAGACATTAGGAAATAAACCACAGTAAGAACTAGACTGAATTTGTTTAAGAAGACTTAAAATGAAAATACCACACAGATTATGTGTCATATTTCTAATTAATGACTGAAGATGCCTCCTTTTTCTCCTCTAATATCCAAGAGAGATTGAAAGGTAAAACAACAATAATGTAGGCAAAACATAACTAAGGATGGGCTGACATTTCTTGAGTGCCAGTTTGATGCCAGTCAATGCAAGCATTGATTCAAGCTTCACAACAGTCCTCTGGGTTTGGATGTGCTTTTCCCACTTAAAAATAAAGTCTCCTGTGTATTAGTAACTTGTCCAGCCTCATACAACTAGGTAATAATGGAACTAATTTAGAGTAGGCTCTCTGAGCCCAGCAGTCATGTTTGGGATATTTTGCCTCACAATAATTAATCAGTATAAATACGTATTCCCTCTCTCCTCCTCTTCCTTGTTTTTATTCTATTTTTATTTTTCCTTCCTGAACAGCATTTTTAAAAATTTTAATTCCAGTACAGTTAACATACAGTGTTACAATAGTTTCACATGTGCATCATAGTGATTCAGCAGTTCTATACATGACTCAGCTCATCATGATAAGCTTGCTCTTCAGTCTCCATTGCCTGCTTTCCCCATCCCCTCACCCAACTTCCCTCTGATAACCATTGGTTTGTTCTCTCTAGTTAAGAGTCTATGTTTTGGTTGTCTGTCTCTTTCTTTTTTTTCCCTTTGTTCATTTGTGTTGTTTCTTACATTCCATGTATGAGTGAGATCATATGGTACTTGTCTTTCTCTGACTGACTTATTTCACTTAGCATAATACTCTCTAAGGCGTTCCATGTTGTTACAAATGGAAAGATTTCATTCTTTTTTATGGCTGAAGTAATCTTCCATTATATATATATATATGTATATATATATATGGAATATATAATATATATTTATATTTCTCCATCATTTGGCTATTGTAGATAATGCTGGAGTAAACATAGGGGTGCATGTATCTTTTCGGATTAGTGTTTTCTTGGTCTTTGGATAAATATTCAGGAGTAGAATTACTTCCTCCTCCTTTTTAATTGGCTCTGTATTAAGATCGTGTAAAGCTTTCATATGAAAGAGAATTTTTTAGGATTTTGAGTTTCACTTAATAAACGCAATTAAAACTGAAGAAAAGATGATATGTAAACTTGACTTACAGTTTGATGATATCATAGTCAATAAATTATGAACTGTCTCCATCAGATCATGTTGCTGCTTTTGGAGAACTGAGCTGTTCACCGTGGCAGTCACTAGTTGTTTTTCTAGTTCTTCAATGATGGAATTTTGCTTGGATACTAATACTTGGAGCTGATCTTTCTCTTCTTTTATTGACTGTAGTTGAACTATATGCTTGTCTTCCATGTCTAGTACTTTCTTTTCCAGGAAGCTTGTAAAAGGAAATAATTGTTAGTTTAGTGAAGGGTTTTCTGATTGCTTTATAAACATTGAGTCAGTTTGGTAAATCTTTTTTTTTTTTTTTTCATAATATTTATTTACTTTCAAGAGACAGAAACAGTGCAAGTAGGGGAGGGGTGGAGAGAGAGGGAGACACAGAACCCGAAGCAGGCTCCAGGCTGTGAGCTGTCAGCACAGAGCCCCACACAGGGCTCAAACTGACAAACTGCAAGATCATGACCTGAGCCGAAGTTGGACACTTAATCGACTCAGCAGCTGAGGTGCACCTCAGTTTTGTAATTCTGAAACAGTCTTTAATATTTATTGAATTTCTGCTTCTCCAGGGCACCCTGTTAAGTTGTTAAAGGCATTGCCACAGCCCTGAAGAAGCTCTCAGACTTGCCGAGAACTCTAGATAAGTAGATGTGACACAGATATGAGGATAAAATACCCTGACAAAATGTAAGGTCCATAATTAGAAGTTATCGTATGGAGTGCGTTTGAAGACCATGGTTTTGCTGAAGGGAATTGTGGACAATGAGAAGGCAGCCTTGGTGTTGGTACCACATGGGGCCAAGCGGAAGGGTGAGTGGAAAGCCCAGGCTGAGAGCCTCACTTCTGCCTGTGACTGCCTGTGTCACCTGGGTCAGGCCGTTCCCTGTCTGCTTCTCAGGTGTATATCTATCTAAATGAATATCCACCTGCAGAAATAACGTTCTATCTAAAATGATAGCAGTAGATTAGATAGAGATCTCTGAGGTCCCTCCTAGTTCAAATAATCTGTAAGTCTGCTATATCTTTTTGAGGTATCATTTTCTGAATCTTTAATTCTGTAAGGAACATTACTCAGCCATGAGACTGACTACCCATTAAAGGTCTTACCTATAAGCAGTAACTATCAGTATAACTATTATTAGAGATTCAATGGGAGGTCTTCAGTTCATCCCAGCCAAGTCATTGTAAATTGGTACATGACAGTAAGCATTGTCAATATACCAAGTCAAAAAATAAGCATCTCCTGTAATGCACTGATTTGCACTTTATTTATACTCATCAGTGTTCTCCTATCTATTTTAAAAGTATTTCTCATTATTTTTCTTGGTATCAGCTAACTTATTCTTTTAATAGTGTATCACTTTATTAATTTAAAAACTAAGATGACTTACTCGAAGAAGAAGTTAACCTAAAAATAAATGCATAAGGGGTGCATGGGTGGCTCAGTTGGTGAAGATTCATGTCGGCTCAGGTCATGATCTCACAGTTCATGAGATGGAGCCCTGTGTCAGGCTCAATGCTGACAGCACAGAGCCTGCTTGGGATCCTCTCACTTACTCTCCGACTCTGCCCTTCCCCCACTCATGCTCTCTGTCTCTCTCTAAAATTAAGTAAATATTAAAAAATAATAAATGCATAAGGTTTTTCTGTTTCCAACCTAAAAAAAAAAAACAAAAAACAAAAAACTTCTAGTACCATCATTATTATCGGTGATAACACTTTGGAAGCATTCCTATGAGACTTGACCTAGACATTGAACATAAAATAAATGGGGCATTTTTAAATTACTAACATATACTGCCTTCAAAATGACATTGCTTGAAATTTATTATCCAGCTGTCTTTTGTTGCCTTTAGTACTCTGTGACGAGGTATAAGAGAAAGATGGGACAATCCTATGTTCCAGAGTGTGAATGAAAGTGTGAACAGTCCAAGATGAATATTTATTTTTTTTAAAAATTAGTTTCTTTCTCCCAAACCTGTACCAATATAACCCCAGAGGGCCATTACACCCTGATCTAAAATAGTTAATCTTCAGGATTAACAGTACAAGCATGTATTGAATTTAGCCGAGCATCAGGTCACCCCAAACCACCCTGCCTCTGAGAGCAGGGCCATGTGATGAGCACAGAAGCACACATCATCTCATTTAAAGCTGTAAGGAGTCTCAGATCGTGTTCTAGAGCAACACTTTGCAAAATGCAGATGGGGACCCTTTATTGGCTTGTGAGATCCACTTAATGAGTCACAATCAGCATTTATTTACTGAGAGTGAATTAATAAAATAGGATAAAATAGATGAGAATAGAGGGTAAGGTCATGGCAAAAACGCCCCACATTGTAGCCGATACGGAGACCTTGAGTGAAGAGTGGTGGCAGGAAGAGATGGAGCAGTGTGGGGATCACATGCAGCGTTTAGCACGGTGCTCGGTAGCGTGGTGTTTCATTTTCTAGTACAGGATAATCAATTTGATCATCACCATAAAAGTTGGATTTAGGAACAGCTGATCTTCCTATTAACATAACTCATGGGCAGGTGAGGAGTGTGAGGAAATACCCTGTGTAGGCAGAAATGCCAAGGCTGAATCCTGTTTCTTTTATGAATTTTTATTGCCTCTCTTCAGAAGGGGGCAGTAAGGATGCAGACAGCGCTTTTCAGTAACAGTATTCACCGTAACAATAATCACAATCGAGCTGGTACAATTAGCACCTAAATGAATCGTTTATTTTTAAAAGAAAAAAAAATAAAGAATGATAAGGTGAAAAATACATAGTAATTTTCAACCTTCACTGAAAAATGGTATAGTGGCAATTTTCAGAAAATCATTGATCCTGATCAGGACTGACTTCACTTGAAACTCTTCCATGAAGAAAACGGTTGCACTTCTGGGGAGACATTGAAAGTAATTTAAAGAAATGGTTTGGCACATGTATTTGTAATAATGTTCTTGCAAGTGAAATCCTAGGCTAGTCAAAACGTAAGGTGCCTGAAAACAAAGCATGCCAACCTCACCGAGAGACAAAAAATCATCTGCACGGTTTCCTTATTTTTGTTTATTTGCCATCATCAATGGTAACATTATTGTCATTTTGTATTTGCGGCAAAAGAGGCTGTGACTTCTGCAGCTCCTGAAAAGATGACTCTTCCTGCAGGTATAGAGTTGTTACGATGGTTTTCATGACAGGTCTGATAAAAAGCTATCCCTCTCAGGATCTATATGTGGGCAGGCCATTCAGAAACAGTGCGTGTGCGACTCCTGTGTGAGTGAGAGGCCTGCAGCCCGGGCTGAGGCGCGCTGCTGTCATGAGCGATGGGCAGTGTCAGTGTGTCAGCTGTGTTTCACATGGTGGTTTTATGGAGGAAATGTGATGTTTAAGTTTAATGTCGTATAAAACTAAACTCCAAGTGCTAGAAAAGTGTACTACTGGTCCATGTAGATTCAACTGGGGGAAAATGTGAAAGATTTAAGTGAAAAAAAAGTTGAAGGATCACAGAGGCAAGAATAATAGGAAGGTACAACGAGCCACGGGACAGTTGGGATCACTGTTTTATACACTGTAAAGATTTGACATGCAGAGACATGTCCCCAAATCATGATGATCAAAGGATGTAGGGAAAGTTGTTGATTGTATTTCAAAGCAGTTCCAGCTGACTGTGGGTAATGAAGTTTCCTTGTAGTAAGTGAAAACAGTAAGCAGTGTGTCTGAACTCAGGAATACAAGTGTTACTTCTCGAGGCAAAAGGGAGTATGATTTGGCAAATATTTACAAAGATGATACTCAGGCGACATAACTGACATACTTAACTGATAGTTTTAGCATTTCGGCTTACTCAGTTAGAAACATAAGGAGGGGACAGTGTTGAATACCAGGGTGCATTCAACAGACTAGACAAAACCTAGATATCTCCCAGCCTGTATTGTTTTGGCAAGCAACCAAAGTAGTCATTCAGCTCCCATATCTTCCTGTCACTACAACTTCATTAAATAAAAGAGAACATTATTAAATAAGACCATTTTAAGAAAATGACATTAGATTATTGTATCTCAGTGATTGGCCTCAAACTTTTAGTTTTTACTTTGCAGAAGAAAACAATTGAAACACTAAAGAAAATAATTTGAATTAAAAAATCTATTTGCAAAAGAATAAAAAAAAACAAGAAAGCTATTTGCTCCTCAAAATTCTAAATCATTAGTGAGTTAAACTTGTTACCCAAAGAACAGAAAGAATTATTTCACCTGAATACTTGATTAACAGGAAAGAAGGATTGTAAGACAATACGTTTATCCTCATTTTGGGGTAAGAAAAAAGAATTATTTGCTTGAGATTATTTAGTTGTAAAATAGAGTATATTATTGTCCGACCATTCTCCATGTCATATGCACATCTTGCTTAGAAACAAGTTGTTAGACAAAATTATCCTCATTTATTCCCGACTGCAATAAACCTGTGAAAACAATCCCCAGTGATCACCCAAAGTTTGTTTTTGTATTGGCGTTCTTGGGAGCTTTCTAGATCTTATTTAAATATTAACATACTATTTGTTAATGAGTTCCATTTTTACTTTATCATATGTTTTAAGAGTAACTATTGCACCACGAAATGTGCCTTGTTGACAGCGTAAGTGTGGTTTTCCTGCAGTGGGTCATTTTGCATTGGAAGCAATGAGATTCCTAGAGGCAAAGGTAAAAACCTGGGCCAGTGTTACTCTGACTCCGAGACATTGGCAGCATTTTGTCAGGGTTTAACTCGGGCAGTATTAAGGCAGAGCTTGGAGGGTGACTAGAGGAGAATCTTTAAGGGGCCAGAGAATGAAAAAAATTGAAGACTGGGTTAGAAGGTACAGCCACTTCTGTACTTTTCCCCAAAGCCTCTCACTACCTTCCCATCACAAGGTGTCCGATCCTGACCCTATGCATTAAGAAATCTGGCATTTTGGAAGCTATGCTTATAATTAATGGTCACATGAAAATAGGCTTTCAGATCTAGGAAACATGCAATTCTGGATTATAAATTTGTGTGTTTTTATTACCTGTTCTTATCTTGTAATTTGTTTATTTCACTGGTCTGGTCCAAAATCTGTTTTTCCAATTTGCTGGTGGAAAGGGAATGTTCCAGAAGCTGAAGTTCAAGTCTTGTTGTCTGATTTAATACCTAAATGTAACAAAATAAAATTCCTGTTTGTCATTTTTAAAGTTACATATAACTTCCTTATGATTAAGTCAGCCAAATTATAAGAAAACATAACTAAAGCATTTTCTATTGACCCAGCTATCTTATTTTGGCACATTCTTCATGTTCAGAAAAGCCTTGAAGTTCCTGGATTGCCTCAGAGTGTGGTTTTTTTTTTTTTTTTTTTCTGTGTGTGTGTGTTTTTTTTAACCATGTCTTTTTTTGGAAAGCGTTTAATAGTTCTGGACAGTAGTATTTGTGTCAAATAATACAATGCCGTTCTTCTTGTCCTGTCATGTTTTAGCATTTCTTTTCACACAGTGAGCCAAGTGGGAGTATAAAACGGTTCTATTTAGAAGTTGTTGATAAATGGAAAAGGTTCTGCCTCTGCTCAAAATGAAATGCAGGTCTCTTATTTGTCAGTAGATGATATGATTAGAAGTCACGTGCTTCTATTCTATAAAAATATAGCTCATTTTTAGCCCAGTATTTCCTACTTTGTATTCACTTGGTTAGCCTTTTATTTTTTTCTTTTCCACTTCTCTCCTCTTTCTTTTTAAGTTTAAAAATCATATCAGCCAATTGGAGAACAGTAATGCATCGCTACGCAGTGGGAACTCAGTTTTGCTCTGCGGGCCCCTCTGGCATACGCCTAATGCACTGTCTCTGTTCCTATTGTGTTCCAGCAGCTTTAAGGATGAATTCTTTGGCGTTCGGCTACCTTCTATCAGGAAGAACCTGTTACTCACATCCTCTGGGTCTTGGTTATTCAGGATGTGACATCACGTGTAAGTGGAAGGTAGAATTGTTGCCCAGGAATAAGGGTCCTTGAGAGAACCATTGTTTGCCCAGGGTCTGTGTCATTCATAAAAGGCTTGGCCTGGTCCCACCGGGCAGATTTAGGGACAGTCCTGTCCTTGGTCAGAGCTGAATGAGTTCATTCCATGAACTCATTCTTGTTGAATGAATGACGGCATCGGCCAGCATAGAGGTTGGGTTTTAATATTAACACCTGCAGTATAGATTTGGCCTACATCTTCTTTGGGCCCAAATATTCTATGTCAGTTATTTCTAAAAGGAACTGAAAACTTGGGTCCTTTATTTACTTACTAAGGGCTATGCACCAAGCACAATGGGCCAGAGGTTGGAAGGAGCACATATAGGTCCTGACTGACTGGGGATCAACTGTGATGTTTTTCCATCAATTTTCCAAAGGCCTCCAGCACAGGTGACTGTCTGTCCAGGTCAGGTGGTTGTCTCCTGCCTATAAGACCTCTGATCTCTCCCTGTCCCTCACTGTCCAGTTCAGTAGCTTGAGTCTGACAGACTAGAAGAATCTTCTAGTCAGAAAATTTTAGGTTTGGATATAAACCTGTTTAACACAGTAATTGCTCCACAAATGCCTTAAGTAGGTTTGGTGCATAATTTGGTCCCTTTTCTAGGTTCAGGTATTTTAATGTGTTTAGTTGGACATTATAGGCTGATTTCTTTCCAGTCATCTTCCCATTTTCATGTTATCATAGATCATATGATACCTGGTTTCACAATTGATGTTTTAAAAATCATGTGACCCAACAAAACCCCAGTAAAAACTAGAAAGACTGACTTACACAGGATGTAGCAAAAGTTTAAATCATTGCTTTATTGGGGGGCCTGGGCATCTCACTTGGTCAGTCTTTGGCTCAGGTCATGATCTCATGGTTCGTGGATTTGAGCCCCACATTAGGCTCTGTGCTGACAGCTGGATCCTGCTTTGGATTCTGTGTCTCCCTCTCTCTGTGCCTCCCCCACTCATGCTCTGCCCCCCTCTCTCTCTCTCTCTCTCTCTCTCTGTCTTCCAAAAATAAATAAAAACATTAAAAAAAGAAAATAAATCATTGCTTTATGTCTTACACTTTATTACCATTATCGGAAAATATAAGAAATATTTACTCAACAGATTTTTTTTAAATGAGTTTGATTTCCCACTAGCTTTACTATCCAAAGGTGAGGGCTGTGACTTAAGCATTACTAATTTATTTTAAAAATTAACTACAGATATATTGCTGTATTGATACATTTACAGTAAAATTTTTGTCTTTACATTTTTAACTTGTATCACCTCTTGGGATTACAATTTTCATACCTTGTGAATCCATCATGTGATATATCTACTTTTCCTACACTGTTTTAATATTGTGGAAAGAGGCGGTAAAGAAGTAACTCCTTATTCTATCCTCAGATGAAAATATTTTATTCTCCTACCACTTCCTACTGTTGTCCCTGCTTTATCCAACAGTTCTTAAGGAGACAAGGAAAGAATGCCTGCACTGTTCTATATGTGATCTTATTACAGTTGGGAGGCTTACACTTTCTCTTACCTGGTGTCCCCTTCTGTCTAATGTCTGGCATTTCTTTCAGCTGAAGTAGCATATAGAAATAATGCATCACAGAAAGTGTTTACTATTAAATCTACTCTTTTTTTTTTTTTTTTTTTTGAGCATTACTTATACCTCATAGTAGGAAGGTACTAACTTCATAAGCTTATAAAGAAACCAGAAAGCAGATGTACCAATGTTGAGGCTTTAACTTGGAGCATCTCAATAAATTCCACCAACAGTACTTTTTTCCCACCTGGACTGTTCTTTTTTTTTTTTTTTTTTTAATGTTTATTTATTTCTGAAGGAGAGAGAGAGAGGGCGTGAGCAGGGGAGGGCCAGAGAGAGAAGGAGACACAGAATCTGAAGCAGGCTCCAGGCTCCCAGCTGTCAGCTCAGAGCCCAAGGTGGGGCTCAAACCCATGAACTGTGGGATCATGACCTGAGCTGAAGTCAGACACTTAACCGACCGAACCACCCAGGCACCCCTCCTACCTGGACTATTCTAACTCGGTCACAGGTTGTATGTCATTTGGCCAGACTCTGGATGAATTTTGTTTTAATGTTCTGATGTTCAGTGTCCTGCCCTTGATCTTTTGTTATTTTTGTATTTTTCTTTCCTGCTGCAATTAATCAGCAGCGCATAAAATCTGATAGCTAAAAGGGAACTTAGAAGCCAGTCGCAAGACAGCCCTCACTTGGTAGCTAAACTGCCGAGGCCATGTTCAGGTTCGTTCACCCAGGCGATGACAGAGCAGAGGCATCAGAGAGCTCAAGGCTTCATGCTGATGGCTCAGCCCTCTGTGCCGGAGGTGCTGCTGCTTGTAAACTCTTTGCTTCTTTGTCGATAAACTCATTCCACAAATGCTTTAACAGTTCTTTGAGATTTGGTTTTATCTTGAAAGTTAGATTTAGGAACAAAGTCACTTGGGTCGCTTGGGTGGCTCAGTTGGTTAAGTGTCCCACTCTTGATTTCAGTTCAGGTCATGATCTCCTGGTTGGGTGTGTGAATTTGAGCCCCATGTCAGGCTCCACTTTGATAGTGTGGAGCCTGTTTGAGGTTCTCTTTTTCCCTCTCTCTGCCCCGCCTTTCTATCTCCCTCTCTCTGTCTCCCTCCCTCTCTCTCTCTCTCTCTCTGTCTCAAGATAAATAAATGTAAAAAAAAAAAAAAAAAAAAAGAACAAAGTTTCTTGTACTCATTTTTTTAACATTTATTTATTTATTTTGAGAGAGAGTGAGTGAGTTTGGGGGACAGAGAAGGAGAAGGAGAGAGAGAATCCCAAGCAGGATACCCACTATCAGGACAGAGCCTAGCCTGAGGCTCGATCCCTCAACCGTAAGATCATGACCCAAGCCAAATTCACCCAGATGCTCAACTGACTGAGCCTCCCAGGCGCCCCAGTGCTTTTCAGTTCTTAAATGAAACGTTGAGGACTTATCAAGAGTCCAGAAGATCCCAGCAAGGCAGAGGAGAATTTATCTTATAGTTGTCAAGTATGCATCATATGAAATGATTTGAATGCCCTTAGTAGAAAAAAAATGTAATTTAACCTCAGCATTAAAAGTGAAAACATATTTTAAATTCTTGTCCAACCACAAATTGTTGATTTCTTATCAACTCATCTTTTTTTCTGCTGCACTCAAGCTTTCTTCACTTGTTCCGTCTTTAACTAAGTAGCCATGCGACATGATTTCTCGGTAGCAGTTACTGGCTGGACCATTATGTGTTTTCTGTTTCATTACTTACTTGTGCTTCGACATCTGTTAACTTCCGTGTTTGCTCCGCTGTTTGATTCAGTAAGTTTGTTCCTATTTCTATCATCACAGCCGTCTGGTTCTGTACTGCATTCTGTTGTATCTCTACCATTTCTTTCTTCATGTTGTCCTGGATATAAGTCTCAAGCTACAAAAAGAACATGAGTCACAAAGACAGTCATCAGTCAAATGATCAGAAACCTTATTCCTAAGTATTTTCCCTTTCCTTTAAAAAATCTGTTGGAAGACCTGTGCCTTGCTCTAATCTTGCTATATTTTGTTTATTCTTATCACTAGCAGTACATGCAGTAGTTGTCGTTGTGTGTTGACTTAAAATCTGGCAGCTTAGTAACATCATGTGTAGGAGACAAGGTGCTCATCGTTTTTGGTTACCTGTAGAAGCCTACACTGTGGCCGGCAGGGGAGGCAGTGTGGCCCCGACGCAGAAGCGAGGAGGCAGCTATGCCGTCCAGCAGACATTCTCCAGGCTGCAGCTCTATCCATATTAGACAGGAAATGAAAATTGGGTACTAAGAAGCATCACTGTTTCTCCCCCATTCTAGACATGTGGTTTCTTGAAATAGAGACTTTAGAAGTCTGTCTAAGACAGAGTATGAGGAAGGGCTCCCCTTTGGATTCCGCATAGCAGAATCACCCGTCACTTCGCATTCTGCTGCCCCCCCCCCCATTGCCCCTAACTTCCCTCTTACCTCGTTCATCACACATTAGACCTTCTGCGCTTTCCCCAACATACATGCATTTTTCACAAGTTCATCATTTTGTATACCAGCTGACTCGTAATCCTACACTACTTCCTTTACCTATTCACGTGGCCATGCATGTGGCCATGCCGGCTCATTGTAATATTTGCTTCAGCACAAGAGGGTGAAGAAGCTAACTTCACTGCCGAAGGTATAGATGTCTGTATCTTTGACAGTAAAATTACATATTGAAATATAAATTCAGGGCACCCAGGTGTGTGGGGAAGAGCACATGGACACCTGATCTCAGATTCTCCCTTGACTCTAGGGATGTTGCTTAGCTTTGTGGGCACCTGGTGACTCCGATATAAAATGGGATTTCTGATTGGTCAGAGGAACGTTTGAAGGATTAATGAAGCAATGCTTTTACATCCCTTGTGTGCATGCATAACTTTAGATGCTTAAAATATAATTTCCTTTCTTTTTTGTGTTTCATGGTGAGCCAATGACAGGAGCTACGGTTGTAGTCATTGACCCAAACTACTTTCATGTTAGCAGAAACCTCTGTTTTTCTTTCTTTTTCTCATAATTATAACTCGGAATTTTTTTTTTTATTAAATTGAAAGATGAGTATAAAAATGCTCATAATGCCTTTCTTTAAAACTTGTAATTCTCTGAGCAGAAACCATTCATAGAGTCAGTCATCAAACAGCATTTCTCCTAAAATGTTAACCAGAAAGTAATTCTGTGCTTCTGCCTGTAAGAGTGGGAAAACAGTGGGGCACCTGGGTGGCTCAGTCGGTTAGGCATCCGAATTCAGCACAGGTCATGATCTCATTTCCTGGGTTTGAGCCCCGTGTTGGGCTCTGTGCTGACAGCTAGCTCAGAGCCTGAAGCATGTTTCAGATTCTGTATCTCCCTCTCTCTCTTGCCCTTCCCTGCTCACACTGTCTCTCTCTCTCTCAGAAATAAATTTTAAAAAACATTAAAATTTAGGGGCGCCTGGGTGGCTTAGTTGGTTAAGCGTCCGACTTTCACTTAGTTGATTAAGCGTCCGACTTTCACTTAGGTCATGATCTCGTGGTTCTTGGGTTCGAGCCCCGCGTTGGGCTCTGTGCTGACTGCCAGCTCAGAGCCTGGAGCCTGTTTCAGTCTGTGACTCCCTCTCTCTCTGACCCTCCCCTGCTCACGCTGTCTCTCTCTCTCTCCTAGAAATAAATAAAACATTAAAAATTAAAAAAAAACATTAAAAAAATTTTTTTTAATTAAAAAAAAAGAGTGAGAAAACAGAAGGGGAAGGGTGGAGTTTCTCCCTCATGGGTCAAGTGCTGCTTTGTTGGTACAACTAATTATTTTTGTTTTAACATTTTAAACTTTTTTTGAGAGAGAGAAAGAGAGTGGGGGTTGGACAGAGAGAGAGGGAGAAAGAATCCCAAGAAGGCTCCACACCCAGCACAGAGCCCAGTGAGGGGCTTGATCTCCCAACTGTGAGGTCATGACCTGACCCAAAATCAAGAGTCAGACGCTTAACTGACTGTGGTGTCTTGACTGGTACTGTAAGTCTTAGAATCCGCGTTAGAACTTTACGTTGTCTGCTTCTGTTGCTTGCTTGCCATGGATTCTGTCCCTACTCCTGTGTGCTTCCCATCTCCCTCCACGCTGGTTGTCGTGAGGGTGGATGGTCACTCCCTGGTTCTCCCGTGGTCCCTGGGAGGGTGACATAGCATGAAGCCTGACAACTACTACACGGCTCTGATCATTTGTAAAATCTTTTCGTTGAAGCCTTTCTCTGTAGGAAGCAGAACAGATGAGACCACTGTAAAAAAATGAAATCAGGTGCTATTTATTACTTGGCAGCCCAGGAAATAGCTCTAGTGTAGACTTCATAAAACCTGGAGAGCAAAGCCCTTGTCGGCCCTGCATTAACTAGCGTAAGCTTTTTAGTGGCTGTGTCCTTTCTTAATTTATTCTTCTTCCCTTCCCCCGCCTTTTTAAAATTGTAACTTTTATGATTTAAATAGATAATTTATGAGAACTCAAAGAAGTTTGTTATTTCTTCTTTCCCTCTCTCTCTCTCTCTCTCTCTCTCGTTCACACACACTCTCACACACACAGACTTTCTCTCTCTCTCATCACCAAGGGAGTAATAGAATTTTTGAGGTTAAAGTTAAAGCCATATAAGTCATCGAGAGGAGTTGTCTTAGTTACTCTTAACACCCAGCAAAGATAATATTTAGAGAGACTTATTCTGGGAAGTTTGGACTCATTAAAGATATACTCAAGCTGGAGTTTGGTTGAAGTCCATACTCCAAAGTCAAAACTTATAAACTAGTATAAATAAAGGTGTTACTCTTCTTATTGATTTTAGTAGTTAAGAACTAAATAAAAATGATTTTGCCCTTTGTCGCTCTAAGTCACACAATTGGAGGAAGAAAATAGGTCCTAGAGTCCCCCCACCACCCCATTTTAGAACTACTGAGTGAAATGTGGTCACAACCATCAAGAGACATGAGAAGCTTGTTTATAATTTGATATTTTTACAGTCCAGTTCCCGTTTAAAATTAGACTCAGGAACTAAAAAGATCCCAATATTTACAGGGGAAAAAAAGTTTATTGCCGTAACTTTTTTCTAAGCTCTAAAACAATAGAATACAAAATGTCTTTTTAAGTCATTATTTTTCAGCTTTTCAGAATTACAAAGTATCTGAGTATGGTGTGTGTGTGTGATCTTACACTGAAGCAAATTACAGATTCACGCATATATGAGTTGTGTGGGTGTAGATAGATCTTATTTATATTGTCTATATGTGTATAATGTCTCTGTACAGTATATGCAGCTAAATAAAGTAAAAATCTACATGCTACTGACCCAGTATCTAATTGAAATCTTTGGCAAGAAAGTGGAACAGAAACAAATACCAAGAAGTAGACATTTGTGTGTGGATTTGTAAAAAGATGTGTGCTCTCACGCTTGAAGCAGTGAAGATAAAATAAGATTTTAAGAGAAATGGATGCTGTGACAGTTGAGTACTCTTTAACAACAGAGAAGAAGGTATTTAGTCCCAGGACTACACAAGAAAAACCGCAATCACTGTGGTTAAGGTCTGCTGCTCCCTGCCGACGCCCCCTGCTCCTGTGTCCACTCTTCCCATGGGCTCCGGGTACCCGGGACCTTACACGCACAGGCTAGGACTGGCTGTTGAGAACCTCACTTTCCCTGCCTTTTGCTGCTTTTCTAGTTTATTTCCCTGGAACGTATTTCTGTTTAGTGTCACTTATTTTTGTTGCCTGCAACTGAAACCCAGAAATAGAGTAACCTGCCTAAATGCAATTCCATTCTGGTAGAAGGAGGTCTTAGTTCCAGGGAAAACATGGGATGAATAAGATCTCTGCTCCCTTGGGGTACCTGGGTGGCTCAGTCACTAAAGCATCCAACTTCAGCTTAGGTCAGGATCTCACAGTCCGTGGGTTCAAGACCTACGTCGGGCTCTGTGCTGACAGCTCAGAGCCTGGAGTCTGTTTGATTCTGTGTCTCCCTCTCTCTCTGCCCCTCCCCTGCTTGTGCTCTCTTTCTCTCAATATATACAAATAAATCTTTTTAAAAAATAACTTTAAAAAAAGAGAGATCTCTACTCCTGTTGGCGGTGTCCTGCTCCACTCTCCTTGGGCAGCTGTTTCCATCTCTGTCGTCCGCACTTAGCCATCTTATCAGAACAGTCCTGAGATACTTGAGCCTCCCAGGGGACGTGGCTCTTCCTCATTTCACACGGGTGTCTTCACACACTCATGTTTTGCAGGGATGTTTGACATTGCTTTCATGTCAGAAGACGATGTATGCAGTGATGCTGACTTGTGGGTCCAGGTACTCCCCAAAAGTCCCAGAGTCCCCATTACAGTTGGAAAGGAGGCACAGACGTTAACTTTTGCCCCATTCTTGAATTGTTGGTCTAAGCACTGGAAGTGTAGGTCCCTGAGCGGTTTCTGTTTCCTTAGAATTCAAGTGAATTATCCAAATTCAGTTAACGTTTCAAGGCTATCACTGGCATAATGGTTGCATAGATTGTGGCCCAGTATTGGTTTGATTTGCTAAGAGAGATTGCACTCGAAACACAGTCTTTAAAAATGGGCCACACGTTGAAGTTCAAGCAACCGTAGTAAACTGCTTTAACATACATAGAGATAAGTATTTTTTTTAATGTAAAATGTGTCCTGAAGTTTTTGATTACTCTTTTGACGTTTGGGACGATTATATTTGACAGGAAAAATGAGTCTGTTTGCAAGGTAACCATGGCAGATTGATTATATATGAAAATGGTTCCATTGCTATCTTTGATCTCACCAAGATTATCATTTTTTTCGACCAAAAGGAAAGTAATCTTGAAATTGGCTGGGCAAAGGAAAACATAGTGTACAAAAACTATCGCCAACTTTGAGATTTTGATCTTGG